GTACCCAGAAGAGAATGATCTAGAAGGTCAGGGAAATGTCACGTCAGATAGCACAACTGAGTTGAATTGTCAATGCTGAAGTATAGAAACCTTTCAAATTGTCCATAACCTACCCACAGACATGATGGCAATATGGACATGAAAATAAAATTCACCTTAGGGAGGGAGAAGGAGATTTAATACATCTGGAGGAAAATAATTAGAAGCCCAGATAATCAATTGCAGAGCGCTGCCAGGAAATGTAATATCCAAAGAGGCCAGGGGTGATTACAAATGAGCCTCAATGTCACACGAGGAGAGAAGAAAGGCTTCGGTAAGTGGGGCTGACAGCCCTGGGTGCCGATCCTGAGGCGGGCCCATCTCCCTTTGGAACGAACTTCCCATCTGCAATCCTGAGAAGAGCTTTCACACTCCATTAACACAAAGACAGGACAACCTGGAGAGACTTCTGAAGCCTATAACTAGGACTTGGATGAGGCTTGAAGGGATCCTTTATACAGAAAGGATTAGGGCAGAGGCTAATAGCCATGGGGATGGGCAGAAAAGAGTACAAAATAACCTAAAAAGTAAAACAATAAAGAAAAGTTAAGAATGACCTGATGTGGCTGCTTTAAGCAGAAAAATCACTAAGGGTAGCAGGAAAAAATTAAAAACTGACTAAGCAGAAAAATGTGAGGCCAACATGCATGGGGGATTTGTTTCCACAAAAATAAGTCATACTGGGGAACAGAAAGAGGTACATCACCTCTCAAGGGGTATTGTCAAATACACACTGAAAACTCTGGAGTACAACTTCCATGCGATGCAGGATGGTACAATATTCTATTTATTTATTTATTATTTTAAAGAATACAAAATAGTGATAGAAACAAAAGACCTAATACAAGGTTACATTAAACAAAATAATAGGAACTCAACAATGGCTGCTGTGTTATATGATGCTGTATTTAAATTAATTATTCAGATTACCAGATGTAAACATGTAAGATTCATTTAAAGAAAAAAAAAACAATAACAAAGAAGTTATAAGAAATTCAAAAGAGGAAAAAAATCAGGGTAAGACAAAATTTTTAAACACTTGCTCCTCCTTTTCAAAGACCAGCAGAAATCAACAACATCATCATCCCAAGTATTCTGCACATATACCTAAATACATCTTTTCCCCTTCTTTCATTTGTCCTTTTCCTCATCCCAGTTTTTCCTTCCCATTGAACAATTCCTTTCCCTCTCACAGTATCTTTTGTACCTTTGAGTTTCATGACTCTTCCTGGCTCTCACTAGTGAGATAATACATGCCTGCGCATGTGGTATACTATCTTAAAACTCAAAGGCAAAGATGGAAGAACAATGGTCAGGGCGATGCTAATAGCCACGTCAGCGTAGCTGCACTCAGTGAGCCCTTGCTAGGTGCCTGCCAGACTCTGTCTTAAGGGCTTTGCGTAGGGCTGACTCATTTTGTCCTCACAGCCATCCTGTCGCTGCTATTATGTTCTCATCGGGAAAGGGTGGAGAGCTGGCAAGTAACAGAGCCAGGCTTTGAACCCAGGCGGGCTGGCTCTCGGTTACATTCTCAAGCACTATGCTCTTTTACCTCTTTGAAAACAAAAGGACGGAAAAGTGGGATAAATCTCAGGATGTGGAGAAAGCCAAAGAGAGCTGGATCCAGGTTTTAAGAAAAAGTCTCCTGGAAATTGCCCCTTCTGAGCTAACCGCTGGTAGGGCGTGGCTCTGGTCTGCTGCCTGTGACCCTGCGTCACAAGACATTCTGTCAGAATGCGAAACTCATCTGTGGTCCCACGTGAAAAGGTCGAGTATCCTCTGAAGACAGGCAGCATTGCTCTTGGCCTGGTCAGTGCAGAGCAGAATCCTGAGCATCTGATGGGCGACGCCCTCTACGGCTTGGCCCTGCACCCATTAGCCGCTTGGGGAGCAGGCAAGGCCCTCAAGTACTGGGCACTGGGCTGACTGCTCCGCTCTCTCACTCACTCAGACTCACCAAGTGAATATTCAACACACATACGCACACTGCCAAGTTTATAGGTGGATAAGTTAAAGATTCAGATGTGAGTTCTTTTAAGACTAATGCCAATAAGGTGCCTTGATTCTTCTGTGATCTGTTTTATCATCCAAAGTCAGTCTTCCGCTACTGTTACCATTTGCCACAAATATATGTGGAAGCACCGATAAAACCTGCTTCATGGAGCTGGGAGGGGCTGGCATCTGGCTGGCCACAGGTCACGGTCTCTCCCGAAACAAAAGGTTGCGGCCTTATGAAAATCAGAGACCTAAAATTTGTGTACATGTACAGACGTATGTATTGGTATGTGTGTGCATTTGTGCACACAGACATATTAGTCTATGTGTCCTTCTACGGGCACAATATGAAATAAAGTTGCCTGGTTAGATGCATGTATCACTTGGGTTTACCTAGAATTGTGCTTTTTTATACATGTTTTCTTAGTGTGACCGCCAGAATTACAAATTACTTCTTTCTCAAAAGTATCCCAATAATGCATATTTTCCTCTCTTCTGGTATATATAAAGTAATTTGACGTCAATATGCAACCTGTTTTGTTTCTGAAGTCTCAATCTCCCTTTCTCTTTCCTTCCTTTCCTACCATCGTCGCTTGCAAAGGATCACATTTGCCATGCTTCTCTCGAAAGGGATCAGCCTCTTTGTGACCTTTCTTAGGTGTGACCCACCAGAGTTATGAATGTGAAGCCCCTCCAGGGTCCTTTTCAGTGAGCTGAGGTGTTTTTGTGGCACTTAAACTTCTATCATACAATAATTCTATGAAGTTGAGTAATCTATGTAATAACTCTGTTACCAGAATTTATTATCAATAATAGATATAGATGTACATGAATTTATTATCAATAATAGATATACATGTCCATGAAAATATACATAAGCATAAACAGCCATGACATCAAAATGCAGAGTAGCAGCACAAACCCCAACCGTATACATGGAAATGGAGTTTACTACTATTCCCTGGTTTGGGAAACATATATTATTAGGATATGTGAAAACCAAGATGAGGTTTCCAGTGGTGCTTTTATGACCCACAATTCTCAAACAGTAAGCTAGGAAATTTATTTGGCCACAAGAACTAAACTTACAGGGCCTGGGGAGATGGCTTAGTAGAATAAGCGCTTCTCTGGCAAGCGCAAGGACCTAAGTTTAATCCCGGGTTCCGCAAATAAATAAATAAATAAATAAAATATAAATAAATAAATTTTTAAAAAATAAAAAAGAACTAAACTTACAATCTTTAATACTTGCTGAACAGTAGCAGCCCGAAGCTCACCCTGGCTACTTCTCCTAATTGTTACATTTACCTAACAAAAGGACATATTCTGGTTTTATTCCAGGAGAACCATAAGAAATAGATTCCCCAGAGTGTTATAATAATTATGGTGCTTTATGGAACCATAATTCATGTGCATCGGTGCTACTTATATTTATTTAAAAGGAAATGTGGGCATGTCACTTTGCCAGAGGACTGGGGTGCTACATTACACTAATACGCTGGCATTGCTGTTGCCTAGATTAACTTTCATTTCGCCATTTCTTGTTCAAGTCATAATTTCAAATTTATGCATATTCTTGTGCTTAATCATTTCACATGAGAAAATAACCCTTTTTTCCCATTGCAGCCTTTTTTGGAAAATACCTCAATGAATATAATGGCAGCTACATCCCTCCTGGGTGGCGGGAATGGCTTGGATTAATCAAGAATTCTCGTTTCTATAATTACACTGTTTGTCGCAATGGCATCAAAGAAAAGCATGGATTTGATTATGCAAAGGTAATTTTCGGGCACTTTTACACTGCACCAATTTACTTTGTACATAATGGGGAAAAGCCATTTTCAGTGAGTTAAACTATCCCCAAGATTGGCTTCTATGTTCTCACAATGTTAGAATAAGAAATTCTAAGGTAATTTTCAACTCCAGCAAGAAAAATATTCTAAAGGAACAGGCCTTTGTGTAATGATTCCCCCTCATCCTTCTAAGGGCAATCAGCCTTTGATGCAAGTATCATCAAGGAAATGGTAGGCCCTCCGGTCTGTCTTGTAACAATTTTTTGTTTTCCCCTCTCTCTGGAGGACTTGTCCATATAATTAAATGTTCATCTCTGTGCTGTCTTGCCTTGCAGTGGGGTGAAGCCATATTTTGTCTGTGGATTCAAATTTAAATGTAAAACTGTGAGCAGACAAGTACAAGAATTAAAGGTTGAGAAACCACATTTCTTCTTGTCACTCCTGTCCAACCAAGCGTAGTGTGTGTGACAAGCACACCTGCCCCATGGCAGCCAGAGTCCGCAGAAGTCTGTAAGGCTATCAGTCTTAGAATTTCTAAATGGGGTCACCAAAGCTGCAATTGACAGGCCCCATGGTTCTCTAACAAACATCCTAGAGCTCACTTAGAAATGCACAAAGGTGTTGCAACCTCCCACTTACATTTAGTTTCTTTCAGCTCACAGGTGCAAAGGAGGAAAATGCCTTTGAATTGAGCCTGCTAACTTACCTACTCTGTTCCCTTCCCTGCTCTCCCTGCCAGCCATATGCATCCCTTCTCTTCCTCATTTACCTCATGGAAGCCTAGAATTGGCTTTCTCCAGCAGCCCTTCCTGACAGGGTAGAGAACTTGGTAGAATCAGAAGATAAAAATTAATTTAGTGTTGTTGGAACATCGCTGTCTTTACGGTTGGCCTGATTTGAGCACAAGGAATTTAGAGGGAGATAAGGTGTAAATCATGATCTTTCATACCCTTTAGGAAACAGTGAATGCAAATAAAACCACAAAAGTTGCTAAATAGGCTTCTACACTCATCGAAGTTGAGAGTAGCAGGGACTTTGGAGGGAAATTGGAGCAACTTTTTAATTTTTAAGAACAAAAAAGAGCCTAAAGCAGTCCCGCCAATTGCAGTCTGTAGGTCATTTCCCTAGTTGTGGATACAATCATAGTATGAAAACAGTGTGTACCACATGCACTAATTGTCACCATTATCAATTTCTGTCTATAGGGATGCTTTTCATGCTCCTTGTCCAAGCTATTAACCTTTCATTCCCTGCTGTCCTGAGGAGAGTGAAGTAATCAAGCTTCTCTCCAAATACTAAATCAGCGTAACTTGCTCGTTATCACAGCTGATTAAGTGTCAAAGACAACTGTTTCTGAAAAGAATATATATCTTTTTTTTGTACTGAGGAAAGAAATTAAACAGACACCCTCATGGAAGAAGGGGACAGCCTGTGGGCCTGTCCCAACAATAACATGTGACACAGATCTGTCCCTCTAGCATTGCTTTTGCAGCTGTTCTGGTCCTTAAATCTACAACATGTGACTGGTCATAGCTGGAACTTTCTGACATTGTGAACATTGCCGGGGACTCTCTGAATAAAGTTTATACTGGAGCTCCAGGCCAGTGATACACACTTAGAGGAAGCAGGTGGTTTAATTTAAATTTTCATGTTTTCTTTCCTTTTCCTTCCACTTCCTCCCTCCCTTGTACAACTTGCATCAGCCCCCCTCCCACCCCACCCCCAATTAGGGCTTAAGTCATTTTATTAGCAAGTCAAGCTCTAATCCCAGCAGCTGTATTGCTTTAGTTGTGCAATTAACATAGCACAATCTGTAGGAAATCAACCACTCCCCATATTTAAGTGTTTCAAGTAAATTAATTGATAAAGTACTGCAGCTTTCCTCTGTGCTCCTGGGTGTTGGCCTTGACTTTGCTTAGCTATGTTACGATATTCCCACAGGTGAATTTTTGATTTGAAAAAAAAAAAAAAGATCCTTTCTTGTATTTGTCCATTTTGTGTGTGCGTGTGTGTGTGAATTTTGAAGTGGGTGTGGGTGCTTCCTGCCCTTGAACTAATTAAATTTTTTGCCAACAAATTACATCAATGAAACCTGAGAATGAAATATGTATCCGGTGTTTCATGTGTTCTAGCACTTGTATTGCCAGGTCTGGTCATTGTCTTGGGCAACCGTAATCTGTCTTTTCTTCTACCCTAACTGGTAAATTGTGCATTACTCAAAATACATTTTCTTGGCATGTTAGAAAGTCAGCAACCTTAGAAATTAGCTGGCGACTGGTTTTCTTTTCTCGTGAGCAAGTTGGGCTGCCTCGGGAGGCATCATTTGCTTTCTGGCTGTCGATTTACCTTTCCGTTCAGTGAGTTGCTTCAAAGGAAAGCAGTATTCAAATGTGAACTGATGAATGTCACCTTTTGTAATTTTTGTTTTGTGTCAAATGTATGTTTCAGGACTACTTCACAGACTTAATCACTAACGAGAGCATTAATTACTTCAAAATGTCTAAGAGAATGTATCCCCATAGGCCCATTATGATGGTGATCAGCCACGCCGCACCCCATGGCCCAGAGGACTCCGCCCCACAGTTTTCAAAACTGTACCCCAATGCCTCCCAACACATGTGAGTAACAACGAGAACGCCGCCTCCTGCGGAATGCGGCCCTTTTCTTTGTCCTCCGTCCTGATACCTGCTGTACTCCCTTTCCTTTCACTCTGCGTGTCCACCGACTGCCAAGCCAGCATCCTTAGGAGCAGATGACCCCCTCCGGGCCAGCCACAGCACAGCCCTGCCTGAAGCGCAGGGCCCTGGCTCAGTGCTGTGCTTAAAAGCCCCGTTGGGAACACTCATAAGTAGCTGGAAAGGAAGAGGCACACGTCGGGTGGGTGGGGGCAATTTTTACCTTGAGTTTCCTTTTTGTTGTCTTAAACAATATTCAGGAGTCAGGTCTAATAATAATAACAATTGTCAAATGGCATGCTCTTCCCAGCAGCAGAGTGGCCACCCAGGTCTGGTCTAGAAGCAGGAGTTTATTTTCCGGACGAATGCCGGAGCAGCTTTGCTGCAGATGTGCAATTAGAATTGCTGCCGTGGTGGCTTGAGTGGCTTGCCCAGGAGGCCTTCTGAGGTCACGGCTTTAAAATAAGGCAGTGTTTCTCTAGGAGAAGCGGGAGCCTGGGGAGGAGGGGCGGGAGGCACTGAGGGCTGAGGAGGGAGACAGCTGTCATGCACAGCTCCTTCCCACTAGCCAAGGGTGGAAAAGCCCAGCCACCTCGCCAGTAGGAGCATGATTCTGTTGACCCCCGCCGCAGTTTCCTTGCAACCACTGAAGCCAACATGCAGCCTTCCACACAGATACCAACTCTGCACAAAAGTCAGCCATTAGAAAGGCAGGAAGCAGGGATTTGGTGTCTGTTGGGGATTTTTTAATCACCCAAATTGTGGAATTGCTTCTTCATCTACTTGTATTTCAATAACCATCACCCGCCTGCATCCCCAGTGATTTTCTAGACAAAATCTTGGTAGAAAAGAACTTCGTGAAAACTTAGTCACCACTGAAGACTCTCTAGTTACCAGTTCTTGGGGAACTTTATATTCTCATTTTGATTTTATTAAAGTTTACAGACTGATGATTCCTAATCAGGATTATATAAATCATTTCTCACATGAGTGATTCAGACTAGAAAGAAGGTCTGAGCTGCACTTTGACAGGGACTAAAACTCTATGTGGAGCCAAGGCGTGAATTTTGGAAGGTGAAAACATTTTATTGCATGAAATACAGTCAGTATAAAAAGGTTTCCCCAGCACCTGGGAAGTCTGGTCTAGACAAGCCATTGTGTCTTGGAATCAACTACCTGGCTCTGAAAACCTCACCCTACATACAGCTCTGCAAATGAATTTATGAATGAAGCCTCGTGGCAGCCAGCTCTCAGTTCAAGCTCAGTTACCAATTAGTAACCAACTGACTCAGCGAAAGGAAAAGTCTTGCAGGTTTCTATATCACCTTAAGCACCTGCCCCCTCCAACCCCTGTGATCAGAAGACACTTTGTGTGCCTTCCTTTGTTGCATTAGTGGAATTTCAGCCTAAGGTAACTCTGTACAATTGCAAGCCTTACAGGTGGTTCCCTGAGTTTGAGAAGGGGTTGACAATATACAGTCTTTTATGGTTCCTTAGAAGTCAGCCTGCCTTTGAAGCTTCAAGGCAAGGTCCGTGGGCTAGAGGAAAATCAGCCACAGGCAGGAGGTTCTCATAGGCCTGGTGCACAGGTAGAAAGTAAAACTGTGTGAGGAGAGGAACGTGCGGTTCTCAGGCCCCGGACTATAGCTCTGAAGAAAGCATCTCTGACTTCAGCAATTCAAAACTGTGTTTTGTTCTGCTAGGATTTGTCAATGCTGCCTGTGTCACTATTAATACATTTCAGAAGAAAGGTAGCCCTGAGGAAGACACAGTGTCAGCATGTAGGAACCAGTAAGCTAGGACAAGGCTCAGTACACTGGAGCCCATTGTCCAAGTCCAGCTTGCCACCAGGTTTTGCTAAGAAAATTTTATGGAAACATACCTCTGCTCACTCACTTGTGTAGGTTTCTAGCTGCTTTCAGGATACAGGAACCAAATGGGGTAATTATGTGCAACAAAGCTGAAAACAGTTATTGTTTGATCCTTAACAGAATGATTCTGCCGTGACCCCTCTTCTAGAGGGAAGAGGAGAAAGTGGCTCTAGGGCCGTATCACCAGCAGTACCAGCAGTGGCAAGCGTAGGGTGGGCTTTCGTTGCGCTGCGGGACTTTGATGGAAAGAGCATTCACACCTTTGGGGAGAACCAGAAAAACTCCGTGGACCACGAGGTATTCAGAGTCCTCGGTGGGTAGGGAAAATGTGTGCAGAAGACGGCAGACCTGGAGTAGGTGACCGCAGGGACTAGATGACACAGTCCAGCATCACCATAAAAGCGGGAAATCTAATGTGTGACCTAGAACTGGAAAGCAGTGTACAAATTAAGCAGCAAGGGATAGAGTTGAAAAGGTGAACACCAGGATATTGGGGACTTCGGTGAGTGTGTATGTAACTACATACACAGAGTCACCAGAGGTCAGCAGGTAGGACAACAAGAAACATGAGGGATGTGATCTTCACATACACATAGACTCAGTTACTCCTTTTGGTTCCAGCGAGCCAGCCATGCCTTTGCTAGTGATTTTATACAGCAAAACTTACACATGGACAAATGAAAGTACTCAGGCCTCCCAGGTGAATAAGCCTGTCCTCCTGTCTCCGTTGTCCCTGCCAGTGGAGCCTGTCAGGACTTCTGTGGTCTTATCTATAAAATGGGGATCATACCATCATCCTGATGTGATGTTAAGAGCAAAGTTTTAGGGACAGCAAAAGTAAAATCTTTGTGTAAGACCTGGGACATGGCAGTTACCCCAGAAATACTAACCTGGTCCATCTTTTCTGTTAAGATGAATGCTGTGTATTAGGGAGCATCTTCTGCACACATTTTCCCTAATTTATTACCTTTGCTGACCTACAAAAGTGCAGTTCCATGTGGTTCAAGTTAAGGTTTGGGGAAGCAGCTAGGGAACTGGCAAGTGGCTACTTGTCCACTGTGGCAGGGCACATCTCTTGACAAGAATCATGGTGAACTTCTACACCTGGCTGTTTAAAATAGACAGACAGGAAAAGTAGCCATCAAGGCTGTGTTGTCTGTTCCAGGTGCTCGCGTACATGGTGGGTGGACGCCCTTTCTCATAGCAAATCAGCATTCATGTGGTTGGCAAGGTGACTCCGCTTCTCTCTGCCTGCTTCTCTCAGGCCTTGTGCACCTTGCCTGTGGAGAGCTACTGAGTCTCCAGCAGGCTCCAGAGCCTTGAATTCCTGGCATCTCTGTTGTGGAGGTCACTCTGGCTGCCGGGGAGGAAGGGGCTGGAAGGAGGGAGTGTGCCTCCCGTGTGGCTGCTCATGAGTGCACAGGTTCAGAGTTCAGTCCACAGACAAAAGCGGTGAGACAAATTGAAGACAAGCTGCCGATTGTGGCACGTGGGGCTACTGAATGGCCGGCTTCCTTGGCGAAAGCATGAGCAACACATTTAAGCAATGGGATGCAAGAAGTTAAGTACTGTGCAGAAATACTTGGCAGGCCTTGGGAAAACAGCAAGGAGTCATAGACCATCCTGCTCAGGGAAGCTAATAGCGTGTGCTCTCGCTGTAGGCCTTCTTCCTCGGTGGCCAAGCCTCATGCGATCCCTTTCATCCAGCCTCGGGTTTTAGCTAGCTGACCCTCACAGCCTGGAGTGAATGTGTCACGTTTCCATGGAGTCCGCTGTTCCCAACGAAGGCAGGAAGCCAGTGCAGTGTGGCATGTTGGCTCTCCAGACTAAGGGAGAGGTTATGCCCACCAGCTAAGGTGCCTTTGCTGTAAAAGTACCCACAATGGGGACGGGGAATGGGGCTTAGAGGTAGAGTGTTTGCCTAGCATGCTCAAGGCCCTGAGTTTGATTGCCAACACTTTAAAAAGAAGAAAAAAAGAAAATTTACAGTGATCCTTAGCATACAGCCCTTCACTGTGGCCAAGACCCTAGCAGACTTCTCAGCGAGTTCTTTTTCCAATAGCATTAAGAGTGCATACTCTCGGGCTGACCAGATGTCTCAGCGGACTAACACGCCTGCTTGGGCAGAGCGCAGCAGCCAGGGTCCCATCCCTGGGTTGCGTTGAGATGGTGATTGAGACTGGGTGTGGTGGTGCACGCCTGTAATCCCAGCGCTTGGGAGGCTGAACACAGGAGAATCACTGTGAGTCTGATCCACATAGTGAGACCCTGTAGTCTCTGTAGATCCTGTGCCAAATGCATTTAAAGAGAGAGAGAGAGTGCATATCTCACCTACTCATCCTTCCTCCTCAGGGTTATAATAGGACACATCCCAGGAAAGTTAGAAGGTGTATTTGTCACCTGCCTCTATGTCCCTGATAACTTGGAAGTGGTCCTGTTTCAGCAGTTATTGCTAATCATACTTGAAGCAGACATAGAGGTTCAAGTGAGACCTAAAATCTCAGTAGAATAGTCCATTCCTACTTATGTGTAAGAATTACCAGTGAGCTGGTGTTAAAACATCTTTTAAGATTGTTTCAAAATATTTAAACATGAAGTTTCACAAACGTAAAGGGTATCCAGAAATACTCTAATTCCATAATATTTTTTACATTTAAAAATGAAAGTCGAAAATCTTTTCGTTTTTGATGACAGCCCGGTGTCTTTGTCCAGGTCCTGGGAACAGCTAGGACCGATGCTGGCACCAAAGCCCAGACGCAGGTCATCCTCCACCCCCCACTTCCTCAGCTCACGTCTCTGCACAGTGAGCATCAGAGCTGGGCCTGGGCTTTGCTCAGCTCTAATTGGTAGCTCAGCAGCCTCTTTACACAATTTTTATTATATGTCTGTAATTAAGATGCTGTGGTCTGCATGCATTCAGATGTTACCTACCTAAAGACATTTGCAATCAGGTAAGAAATATCTCCATAAAACCAATTAAATACGTTCAATTTTAGTGAAAGATGGTGTGGCGTGGGAAATTCAGTGCAGACTTCCCAATGAATGCTTTGAGTGTGTCTTAGATCTGTACCC